CTAAAGAACAGTTTTGAAAACTATCTGTGGGACACTGTGGCTCACACTTGTTATCCCAACTATTCAGGAAACTGAGAGAAGAGTATCACAAGTTTGAGCCAGTCTGTGAAACTTAGCAAGATCCTGTCTCAAAATAAAAATAAAAAGGGCTGGAAATTTTTATTGCAGAACACAAATTTTCTCAAAGACATAGTGTTACACCTAATTTTAGAACAAATACTCTGTCCTCTGGAGGAGTGCTTACACCATATAAAGTGCTGTTCTGCACTGATATTTCTTGAAAGACATTACCAGAAGCATCTACTTGGAATGATTGACAGATGAGCATCAGACTGCTTATTGGTGCACCCTTGGAAACAGGCTAAGGAAGCAAGGATAAAATCCAGAGGTAGGTAGGCTCCCTAATCTTTCCCTGGCCTGGCAGTCCATGTCCCTGTGGTAGAATCCTGTCTGTTCTGCCAAAGACAAAGCATATTTCTAAAAAATGTCCTTACTTATAGAGAAAAAAATGTAAAATAGGAAAGGAAAAGCTGAGTGGGTGAAAAGTTAAAATTACTTTTCCTTTTTAAAAATGGATCTTAATGAGGCAAATAACTATGGGAACCTTTTTAAGCCACTTTGACCTGTAATAAAATTTACTGTGCCAGGGAGAGGTCAAATCATCTACAAGAGTAAATTAAAACCTAACCAATCTTCTTGACACTTTCTATATTTAGAATCTTAGTAAGAAATAGAAATTTATTGTCAATAAAATGAATTTGCAACCAATAAAATAAATTTGAAAATGCTAATTTCTCATGAATTATGTTAAATTCTCATTTCTCAGAATGTGACATAGATTCAGTGTATACGATTCAGCTACTCAATTTCATACTTTTTTGGTTATTAGCATTTACTGTGGAGATATTCTGTATCAACCTCTGAGCCTGGGACTGGTGTCTAAGGAAGATAACTCATTGACCCAACCTTTTGGGAGTTCACAATAACTGGAGGGAAACAAATGATTACAATATGATGTGATCATTTTGGCAATATAAAATCGATACTGTGGGAACACAAAAGAATGACCTTTGTATATCCTTCAGAAATAAGACAATATTTTAGGTGAATTTTGAAAGATGAATAGGAATTTAATCAGAGGGTAAAAGGTCAATCTTGAATATGAATTATGAGGGACTCTTCTATCTGTCATGGAGAATAAGAGCTAACTTGGCCAGGGTGCATGCCATAAAGCCATAGTTGGTGGAAGTGGTCATTGGCCAAGCAAAAAATTAAATTGATCAAACAGGAGAAGACTCGGAGGTGAGTAAGTAAAGGATGCATATCTAAATAGGGCATTAGATTCTGGGTGTAGAGATGGAGATCAAAGGGGCTGATTAAATGAGAGTTAAAAACAGAGGGTGAACCAAACAAGTTGGAAGAAAACTATTGAAAACAAATATCTAGAACAGGTATTAATTTACATTATTAGATTTTATCTTTTCATAAAATCCAATAATTAAGAAATTGTTTAAGTCCTTTTTCAATGCAGACTTCATAATCCAAGAGTAGTTTCTAAAGATTAATAAAGACACTAGAGAGAAAATTAAAATACATATTTTTATTGTTTTTGGTTTATATTGAAGTGGAAGCTAATGGATACACCTTCTCAAGTCCTTAGATGGGAGGTTGGAATCAAAGTAAACACCACTGATAGAAGCAGCCCCAATTTTCTCTTCAGCATGACTTTATCTGTGTAAGTGTGGCTGGAGGTTTTTGTTTTGTTTTTCTTTTTTAAAAAAGATTCTTGAAAAAATTTTTGAAGAAGCCCTATAGATCATATACAGATCAACTAAAACCTTTCTTCTGTTTATATGTTGCATCAGTGACTAATTTCAGAAAAGGAGTTTGCAGTTAAATTTGTTGGAGCACACTACATCTGCTCAATTTCAGTCAGAGTCCAATGGTGTTGCCAAAAGTCTGCATTGGAATTATAAGAGAATGTTCTCTAGACTCAAATAGATGTAGGACAGGCTCCATAATAGAAACTCTTGGGTCACCAAATCTGGCAAGAATGTGCCTGAAAGACTGTATCACAGAAAAATAACTGGATTTGGGTCCAAATATAACAAAATATCTCCAGAGTTTTAAAGAAAACAACTTAATCTTAAATTCGTTTGAAGAAAAAAAAGTTAATGGGATTACAAGGATGTTGATTTCTTTTAATAAAAAAGTGGGTTGAAATTCTTGAGCATGGCAAGAAAGATCATGGAAATACAGTGCTTATTATAAGGATATTTAATAAATTTGAGATTTTGAATTAACAGAGTGATATTCTTTGGGGTCATGACTTTGTTTGAGAATCTGATGAAAATTGTAAATTTTCTACCAAAAAGTGTATACCACTACAGACACACATTAAATTTGGCATATATTTCCAGGGATTCAGCTATCCCCATGAATTCTTTCTTGAACTTGAAGTTAAAGAAAAAAAAAAAAAAATATATATATATATATATATATATATATATATGAAACTTCTGCCTGGATAAGAAATATTAGGACTATTTCTAGGAACAAAAAGGAAGAAGATAACTTTTCTACATGAATCAAGTGGTGACATTTCATTCTTTGAATGAATTGACCATGACATGCAGCTTCTTTGGGAGAGCTCTCTTAACTATTCTCTTTCAACATCATCTGCTAGCCCACTTTGCGCCTGGAAAACACCCAATCACTCTTTATCATATAGATTTCTTTTATTTCCTTTACAGTGGTTGATACAAAAAGAATTCATTATTTTTTCTGCAGTCTGTTCCTACCAGAATGTAAACCAATAAAGACCTTTTATCTGATGACAGCTAGATTCCTAGTATCAAGAGCATTAGATAGTATATAGTTCTGCCTTGTAATTATTTTTTGAATAAATATTTCACCATTAAGTAGTTTTAAAAATTGTAAACTACCCATTGGCAATATATAAAAATTCATGTGAAGTCAGGATGGTCTAGACAAATGGCTGTCTGGATATATATTACTGCAATATGATAAACTTCTACAGCATGCTTAAGCTTCAAATGACTAATGCTTCATTTAGCTAATTTCTTTCTCCTTTTTCAGACTTTTGTCATATATTTTTGGAAATGTCTGCTGATATGCAATATTTCCAAGTCTGAATTGTCGTAGGAAATGGCATATTGTAGCAATATTTTAGTCACAAAAATTGATGCAAGCTCTTTTGGGTATAGTGTGACTTGGGTGGGAATGCAACTTGGTTTTGAACTGCATGTGTATGTCTGATTTTATCAGCAAACTTCTTGCAGCTCTGAGATATTCCTAAGAACTCTTCCTCATTCATTCTGTTGCTTCAGATCTCCAGGAATAATGTTTCAAGTTTGTCATAGTCATGACAGTGTGTACTCTTGACAAGGTACAATTCTTTGTCTTCTTTTATATCATTTCAAGTCATGTTTAACCGTAATTAATATTCATGAAACTCATTTGGCACTTAAAAACTGGGCTTCCAAGGGGATACACTTTATGACAACTAGTTTGACATTTTGGAGAAAAGATAGACCCTAAACAAGATTAAAATTCTAAGCCTGATGAAACAGATCAACTAAAAGGTATAAACTGCATAGCATAATTTCAAGATGTGAATCACATAAATCAATTTGGTCAATCCAGTTCAAAGGAGGATTTTCTTTCTATTCAACTAAATAGTAGAATGAATAGTTTTCTATTATTTACTTAAGAGATTTTCATTAACCAAATTCATTATTTCTTAGAAAAATAATAAAAATGGTTTAGTGACATTGTTTTTTTTCTTCCATATACTACAATTTTTCATTGTGTATTTTCTAGTACAATTTTTCAACAAAGAAACTTTATTAAGCCCTAAGCCTTCTCTGAAGCCATTGATCATGACAAATTATTAGTTAATAGTTTTATGCTGAATAAGTTAAATTTTAGAAACCCAAACCATTCCATAAGCTTGAGTTCAGTGTTAACTGAGACTGAAGGCTATTTAGTGACTGACCCTGGATCTTTTTAGGGATAACTCTTTCTTTCTAAGCTATAAGCAGTCAGTGATTTAGACTTTATATCATCCTGTGGCACTCAAATTTGAATCCATGCTCTGTGACTCTATTACTGGGCTGGCCAGTTTATAGCAGTTGTTCTTGTGGTTCACTTGTGATGATGGAAAAGGTGAAGTAGACTTTATCTCAAAATGTTTGATAGTATCACAGGAATTTAAATTGTGTATGTGGCAAAAGATATAATAGTAATACTTACCTTATCAAGTCAGCAACATGCCAGTCTTGATTCTGTTTTCAAATATATTCTATTTCTAAAAGGCTTGGCTTTTAGAAACTCTAAAATGGCTTTATTTTTCAGAATTGCTTTTACTTGAATGAATGCGTTACATTTGCTGTCAGTTTCATTCAATTTAACATTTTACAGAAAATTTGGTAAACCTAAGTGCTAAGAAGAGCCGATAAGTTTTTTTTTTAAATCTATTCTTTAAGGAAAATAATGCTCAAGAATTATTATATGTAGAACTTTCCTTAATAGGGGAATAGCTAGTTTTATTAGGAAATGAACATTGCATAATTTTATGTAGTTACATTTTAAAAAAATGATTCTTGTGGTTGAAAATTTGTAGTTCTGACCTTGTTAATAATTCTCAAATAATACTTGTTTCTTCTTAGGAGTAAGAATAAAAAAGAAGTTAACATAATTTGTGAAGAAAAGATTTCGTCAGAGATAACACTGTTAATTATAAAGGCAAGATAACTCTGAGTATAGAGATAGGAATCAGAACTTTTGAATTTGTGATGAATCATAACTAATCACTCATTATTCTATGTGTATAATGCATCTGCTGTTATTTTCTCTTTTATTTCTACATATTTAGTGATGCACTGAAATACTATCATTTTCTGAACTTGTAGATATAAGTTTAGGTACAAGTAATAAGCATTGTGATTCAAGTGCCACAAATACAAATAACACACAAACACAATCAAACCATGAACATATTATTATTTGAATGACATGGAAGTTTGTCAATGATTTGGTTAATTCAGAAAAATACCAGTTACACAGTTCACTTACGGTTAAGAGTTTCTGAGTTTGGATTTCTTTACATCTTGGATAATATGGATGATTTAAAAATACTTATTATTTCCCTCATAAAATTTATTTTATATGTTGGAGATTAAGAAAAAACAGTATCTAGATTAAGTTCTTATCTATTTCAGGCACAAAACGGATGATACTTTAAGAAAAATGTTTTTAAACTATAAATGTTTGATGCAAGTCCCATTTTTAAACTTGTTACCCGCTTCCAGTGACAATAACGTTTGTGCTTGCTCCAGCAGCACATACACTATAAATTATCTATGGAGTGATAAAATCTTACATAGGAAATAATAAGTTGCTTTACAAGCTTCACATGGCACAAATAAGCTGTGATTATCCATATTTTGCATGTACACGATACCATATAATTATTTTAAAAACAAATAATGAAGATATTCTATTAGCGGCCATCTACTTAAAAATTAATTCATTTCTGAAATCGATGTGATGTTCTTTCCTTATACAAACCCGATATACAAAGTATTGAGTTAGTATTTTTGTGGTATGTGTACTATGACAAGTGAAACTCCTAAATTTTCCAACACTCTTTTTAAAAGAGAAGACAACACTGCAAAGGACCCAAAGTGGTCATTAAATCATGCTAATGTTATTGTAGGCAAAGAGAAAACAAAAAGAAATTCTTATTAAACCTTATCAGTTTCAAGATTGGATTTTTAAATCCTACAATTTTGAAAGGGAGATATTTGAGAAGGTGTTTTACTTGTGACATTTAAAATAAATAACATTTAAATATTATCATTTCTTTATACAGTGCTTTATTTGCAGTATTATGTCCTATTTTTAAAGAAAATGTGGAATGACATATGTGTTAAACTAAATATTTATGACTATTTAAGATATATAATATTTAATATAGAATATATTTTTAAAATTGCAAAATCAATCCATGTTAATTTCTATAAAGTTGCCTTAAGGAAATCTTTTTAATATAATGTATGGAAAGTTAATCTAAACTCAATGACATGTTTGCTATATAGATATATGTTTTGTAGAATAATGAACAAAATATCACTAAAGTTTTCCTTTTTTTGGATACATTATTTCTGCATGTACAATGAATCAGATAACAAGGGGTTACCTTCTCACTCACTTTCTGAGTTGGTTATTTATACATTTGAAACCAAACAGACAAATCCCAAGTCTCTTCATCATTTTCTTTTGCATAAGCCCTGACAATAACTCTTCAGAACTCAAAATCTAAATCTACAGGACATTGTAGAAATTTTCTTTTTTTAAGAGTATTTATGTGCTTCATGTACTTTTAGATACAAGGAATTACATTATTGCAAGCTATGAGTAAAATAAAATATATTTAATAAATAATATATTTCATTAATAAAGAACAAAAAATGTGTTTGGTGTATAATATATAAGTAATTCAACCCATATTCAAAATTTGTGACTCATCTGCATCTTTTGCAAGCAACCATATGGGCTGCTTCCTGTGAACAAAGTAACTTGGCTGCATTGAATCAGTTTTTGCCTTCAACATCAGTGGTCCATTGAACTTGGGGTAAAATAAAAGCTCTTATGTAAGATAGCTGCTTTGATTTTCTTTTTAGTTTATAATGATTGTGTAAGGGCGTAAGTCAAGAAGACTCTTCTTGACTATGCTTGAAAATTGACTCAAATAATTACTGAGATTAAATTTCAATCTATTTTATAAAAAATATTATGTACTTTCACAGAAGTGAAGAAATACAATTGCACAATGGTGGTTACAATGATAGAAATACATATTGCCAATAAAATGTTAGCAAGAGATTTAAAAATGACTGTACAGCACCGCATCAGAGAATTCTGTTAACAGCAAAATTATTAATACTATTTTTCTATACAAACGAAATCGTTTTTAGTAATAAATGGGGAAAAAGCTTTTTTTTTTCCTTAACCCTAATTCCTACCAAAAATATTTCCTGATGTGGAGCAACAGACAGTAAAAAAAAATGACAGTTTTAATAAAAAGAAAATGACATTCATGCATGTAAGCCAACATTAGTCTCTGACTCTAATATAAGGCAGATCATTAATCTTTTGCAAAACTATGACTTTAGCCACTTAAGCTCTTTTTAGTGCTTTTGATGACAATGACATGATAGGCCTTGTAAATTCAGGGGTTAAGATGTGTTTTGAACACATTAATTTAGACAGACTCAGCAGACTTTTGAAACACCAAATTTATAATAAAAAATGTTCTGTTTTGGAGAAATGATGGAAAATTATAATAAAAAAACAGAAGGGCTCCTATTGAGTTTATCACAAATGACAGTGTTTAGATCAATGAAAATAAATCACATGTGCCTATGTGTCATCCTCAGTCTTAATGATGTGGAAAAGGGTGACATTGAACAAGACCTGGTGGCCATTGTTCCAGGCATAAAGAGCTCTATCTCTTGCATTGTAGTCAAGCATGGATATGTGAAAGTATTGGTTATGAAAGGGAATGTCTGTGTATTCATATGTGGAGGTTTTGGTGGAATATGAATAATACACCTTAGCTCCAGTTAAGTGGGAGTTGGTGACATACAGTGTCCCACAGATCATGAAAGATTCCCCTGCACTTCTCTTGGGGTAGCCAGTGCTCCAGCTCTTCATCACTTCCAAGGTATCTTGGTTAAGTTGGCTGATGACAATATTGCCTGCATTCTGGTTAGTTGCATATACAGCCCACAGCCCAATTTCATCAGCCATTAGGTCGATGTCAGAGAATCCACCCCAGGTGTAGGGGTAAACGTTGTGAAAACCAGCATATTCCAGGCTTCGTTGAGCAAGCACTCTCCCCAAATCGAAGCTATACTTGATGATAATATTACTCTGGTATTTGTTAAAATAGAGTGAGCCATTGTAGACAACATGGTTAGTTCCTGCCCACTTGAAAGGGAGGTTGTATGTCCTTGATTCAGCCCCACTGACAAAGTCTGCAATTGACTTGTACTCACGGACAATTTTATTGTTAGTATAACTGTCCATATACCAGACCTGAGAAGAAGGAAAAAAACAAAAGGAGTGACTCAATTTTCTACTTTTAAGATAATTCCAAAATAAAGACAGTCAGCACATATTAATATCATGATTCTTAAAATTGGAAGTAAATCGTTTATGAATGACCTGCAGCAATGTGATGGTATTACAAGGTTTTGTAAAAATATTGAATTTCTCTATGTGGAAAAGAAGCAACTGAGTTTACTGTCTTGGAGTTGATCTGCTTTTTTTTTTTTTGGGGGGGGGGTCTTCTTTGCTTTATTTTTTGGCTATTTAAACCATATCACTCAGTGGACCAAAGCATAGGCTAATGTAAATCAAATCACCTGGTGGATCAATGTGATCATTGATAACTGACCAAAATACAATCTTCAGCAAATTATTTTTATTCCATCCCTTGCTTTGAAAAAAATGGTATAATTTCATATTTCTAATTTCTACTCATTTCTACTTCATGAGTACCACAGAAATTTCGGGTAACTTTTGTTCACTGGATCAGCTTAAAGTTACAACTACCTTTTGACAAACCTATTAATGTACATATACATAGTGCAGACTTTGCCAACTTATGAAATTCCCCCCAAAAGTTTCAGTGTTATTTCTTTTAAAATTATCTCTAGATTCCAGGGACATATTAGTGTATTTAGAAAATGGTCAGCTCTTGAGTCTTTTTTACTTAGTAATGTTGTTTTCAAACTAAAGAGCATGTTTTATAAACAATACACAGAAAACATTGTACACTAGCAATCAGCACATTTCAGCCATAAAACAAGACTAAAATCAATAAAAATTGGACTTTTTGTACTGGTGGATTAAGAAATAGAACATTTTACTAAAATAAACTTGGTATGTATTTTTAGATAGTAGTAACAAATGGAAAATATTTGCAAGTGATATTAACACTTTTCAAGTTGAAATTAATATCCCTGAAGAAAACAAATAACCCAGAAGAGAACAGTATAAATAAAATATAACTCTAAGCAAAGAAACTTGTGGAGGCAACATACTCTATTATTTTTTTCAGATGCTAAAGGATCTGTCATCCAAGCGCCAAATCGAGTTCCAGATGTCTTGACTGTCACAGGGCCTGTGATTTTCATCAACTTGCCACATGCTGAAATTAGAAAAACATAAATATGTTGGGAAAACCCAGTAAATGATTCCAACACACACACACTCTTACCAAAAGCAAAGGAAGTGATCGTAAAACAAGACAAATTCGTGGGATTAATATCCCATTTCCCAAATCAATGATCATTGGTATTGGTTGGGTATCAATACAACAATAAGTTGAACCATGAGTGGTTGCTTTTTCAATGCTCTAAATCAAAGTACGGAATTTTAAGTGGGCAAAGATTTGAATAATTTGGGAAACCATTATCATTTTATCAGTATGAAAGCTGTTTCTTTTAAGAAGTCAGAAAAATCAAATGAATTGCCCTGGGAACTGTGCACCTGATCACCAATATCCCCAGTCTCTCCTTCCAACACATTGTGACCGCTGATAACTTATAGAAGCCAGAACAAACTTTATAAGCTGATTTTTAATTTGTGTTCATGAAGATCCCATGAAGAAATTCTAATGCAGTATAACAATAAAAAAATTCCACCAGTCTTCCAGAAAGAAGTAGAGTTTTGAAGAACAAATGTATTGGTTACAGGACCTGATAAACATCCAAAGAATGAAACTTCAAAATCTCAAGCCCTAAACCCCAAAGTCACATATAATAAAAGATGTAGAAATGAAATAAATAATGAAAAACATTATTTCACTGAAAAAAATTATAATATTTTTAACATCTTAGCAATGATAACTTCCAAAATATCAAAACCCCACCAAACAGAAACCCAGAAATTTTTGTGAGATTTTTAATTTTTTACCATGAGACTTTGTTTATTTTGCAAGTGTTTTTTAATTCTTTCACCATAATTTCCTCATGTTTTTACATTACCATATCTGTTTTCTAGACTTTTAAGACATTGAATAGAGTTTGTCTTAAGTTAAAAGGGAAAAAACATTCTTTCTGCTGAATAATATCACATTTAACATAAAAATTATGAATGTTTTGAATATTAAGAATTGAAACTCCTGGAATCAAGGTCACATTTATCTGTAGGTACCAATATATCCCTGAGATCTAAATAGGAAAATGTCTCTTATAAACCGTAACAAGACTCTCACCTCAAAATAAAGCATTCTGAAATGTATACAATGATTTCCATATTCAATAGCTTTATAGTATCCAGAAAGCCAGGGTTTATAGAAATGATAAACTAAATAGTTAACATTCAGAAACAGGTTCTAATACCCATTTATACCAAAATAACAAAACTTGAAACCCAGTACCCTGTGCAGAAATATGTTCTATTCCTAGTCCATCATAAAACCACGATTTTTAAAAACACAGATCCTGAGATTTCCAGTAAATGCTAGCCAGAGCTATCATCTGAACAAAGAAAACTCCAGTAAGATTAGCTTTAACACTTTATTTGAATGGAGGATATGATTCATACTGAATCAACAAGGGCTCCTGGGGTTGCTGGTACCATTTCTGGGAGTATGGTAACACGCACTTGGTTTCCATGGAGTGTGTAGCCATAGTTGTGTGATTCAAATCAGCTTTGACTTAGGCAGAGAGAGATCTCAGACCCAGCCAACGTGGCTCTGTTAAACAGCAAAGTTTTAAAGTGCACATTTTGAAAGGAAATCTTACTGCCTATAAATGTTGACGATTGGTCTCAATCAAGGAATAGTCTTTCCAGTTTATCCCATGTTTCTTTTTTTTTCCCCCTTTCATTCTTTTTTCACTGTTTTGGGGTTGTTTGTTCTGTTTCTTCTATCCTCCTTTGTCAATTAATAGAATTGATAAATTTCTAGTTTCTGTTGGCTCCTCCTGTCCTGATTAGGGAAGAACAAATATTCTAAGCCAAATCAAGGACAAAAGTAATTCTAGCTAAAACTTATTTTGGCCCATTTTTCTATATATTTTCCTCCTAAGAATGATTTGTAACTGGCAGGATACAGAGCTGTGCAGTTAAGAAGATGATGCATGATAACATATTTTGCACCATTACTTTAGTAATACTACAAATTTAGTCATTTCTAGCATTTCAAGAAATCTGAATGGAAAGTATTTTCCCCCTTTGTGAAAAGAAAATTAAATGTGATGGCATTGTTATATAGTGAATGGCTTTATAATTTCCTCAGACCTGATAAACCAGGCTAATTATTCAGAAGAATTTGTGACATTATCTATATTAAGTATTAAGGCCCTCCAGGGTTAAACCTATTTGGAATATATCAGTTCAATTTGCTATAAACACATTAAAAATATATAAGTAAATCACCATCAATTTGAACTAGAAAAAAGTTAATGGAACTAGTTGAGCATATGATCATAATATATAAGAAGTGAAAGTAATATGATAATTAATGTGGTCCTACCTAAATATTTCTAAGTAAACATGATTAGAGCATGAAAATTTCAAGTGTAAGTAGATTGAGATAAATTGAAAGGCAAATACCACACAACTTAATTTTTTTCTTACACATGAGAAAGTAATTCTGACTTAAAATGATGGACTAAGATGTGCCTTTATCTCCTTTATCTTTTGTGATCATTAAAATGATAAGAAAACATGAAAAAAAACTAAGAAAACAGTATGAGAGCCATAAGTGGAGAAAAAGTTTTACCAAATTTCTAGAAGGTAGAGGTGATGGAGGGGTCATTAGAGTGTAAGATGTAATAACAAGCATCAGTGTCTATGCAAAGGAGAGGACAGCTGAGGAGGGAGAGGCCCTGCCTTGAAGACAGGTTACACTAAGAGACTCAAAAAATAGGTAAAAAGTGCTGGGAGTGAGATAGAGCCCTAGAAACAAGGACAGCACTGAAAGCTGCTCTTAAAATCTATTGATTTTACTGGGTGTGGTGACCTACACCTGCAATTTCAGCCACTCAGGAAGCTGAGATAGGAGGAGGGTAAGTTCAAGGCCAGCCTCAGCAATTCAGCAAGTCCCTGTCTTAGAAAAAAATATAAAATGGGCTAGGTCTGTGGCTCAATGGTTAAGCCCCCTTCTTGGTTCATTTCTTGGTACCAAAAATAAATGAATGAATAAATAAAAAGACCTACTGATTCCATCTTCATCCCTACATACCAAATTGCAGGAGGCAGGTTAAAAAAGAAACTAGAAAATTGTGTCAATTACTTGGGAAGACTTTGAGTAACTAAATAAGTATGACAAGTCCAGAACACAGGCTCCTGTGTCATGACAATGGTAATCTTCCTACCTAGCAACTATGGGGAGAAATGTCAACCCTACCTAAATACATGGAATTTCCATGGAGATTATCATTCAGATTTTAAAAATGTAATGGTTAACATAGGTGCCTAGGTAGCTTCAAAAAGTTAAAATGAGACTGATCAAGATAAATGTGCAAAACAAAAACAACAACAACAAAAAAAAAAAAAACACACACAAAAACAGGGTCCCAATGAAAGAGCCTAACAGAGCAGAAGAGACCCTGGTATCTTCAGAGACATCTGTACCTTGTGTACTGTGGACTGGGATAAAAAAGCACAAAACAGGTACTGCAAACTAAAAATATAGCTAAATTAAAAAAAATTGGTTTGTAGAAGATAAAATGAGGTATCCAAAATCATTAAAATTAAAGAGAAAATAATGAAAATAAGAAAAAAAAACTTGGAGGCATATAGGTGGAATTTATAAGCTCCAACATCTGAAGAATAAGTATTAAAGAATAAAAAGGGAGAGGAAAACAAAAAATTGTTAAAGAAATTCTACAGGGAATTTATTTAGTTATGAAATCTACATATTCAAGTTAAAAGGGCATATCATATAAATTTTAAAAGATCTATTCTTAACAGAATTTCTGTGAAATGATAGAAGATTCAGAATAAATTCTAAGCCAACAAGAATTAGATTGAAATTGTTTCTTATCACCCATATTGAATGCCAAGAGATACGGATCAGAGCCCTTATATTTAGGAAGAAAAAACAGATAAAGATAAAATAAGGGTTATTCATCTATTTATTTATTTATTTATTTTTTGGAACTGGGTATTGAACCTAGGGGCATTTAATCACTGAATTACTTCCCCAATCCTTTTTACCTTGTCTGACCTCAAACTTGAGATCCTCCTGCATCAGTGTTTTCAATTGCTGAGAATATAGGCAGGCATTTCTGTCATGCAAACTTTCCAAAAGTTCATCTACACTTCACTCATATTTTTTTTAGACACTACTTAATGAAAGGGTTGCAGGTGTAGCTCAGTGGTAAAGGCCTTGTCTCAGTATGCTTGAGGCCTTGGGTTCAATCCTCAGCACCACAAAAAGGGGGGAGGGGCAAAAAAAGAGGAAAACACAAAGTTACTTTAGGAGCTACCACAGCAAAACAAGTGAATAAACCAAAACAGAGGAAGATAAGATCAGGGAAATAGTGATTTCCTATCCAAAATGGCAGCTGTGTAGTGGGCCTTGAGAACATTTGATCCAGAATGGAATCAGATCTGAGGGGGAGGTTTCAGCAATGGTTATGGAGATATAAATCACTATGACCATTATGGAAAACAGTATGAATGCTACTAAAAAAATTAAAAATAAAACTAACATATGATCCAATAGTCCCACTAATGGCTATCCAACCAAAGGAAATGAAATCTGTATGACAAATAGACCTTTGTACTCCCACGTTCATTGCATCACTATTCACAATAGCCAAGAGATGAAAACAACCTAATGTCCATCAACTGATGAATGGATAGAGAAAACGAGGCATGGATATACCATGAAATACCATCAGCCATAAGAAGAATGAAATCCTATTATTTGCACATTGCAGCTGGACTGTAGATCTTTAAGTGAGTAAGCCAAGCACAATAAGCCTTGTTTCACTCGTGTGGCATCCAAAAAAGCTAACTGCATGGAAGTTGAAAGTGCATTGGTGTTTATCAGAGGTTGGCAGTTGATAGGTAATTCCTAAGTTATAGTTACATAAGAGTAAGAAATTCTGGTGTACTATTGCACAGTAGGGTGACAATAGGTAACAGTAATGTACTGTGCACTTCAAAAATATAGAAGGGTTTTGAAAGCTT